CCCGCCGCCGCGCCTCGGCCCCCCGGGAACACCGCCAGCAGCCAGGTTCGTTTTGCCCCGAAACAGCCCGTATTGGGGACTGCCCCCAGTGGGCTCTTTTCCGCGGTCACCCTTGCCCTTCTGGCATGCACTGTCCAGCAGGCAAATTCAATTCAGCTGCTCGTGCCAACGGCCCGCATGCCCTCATGATGCCAGATTTCAATTTTTAAGAGGAAGCTGCCTCCTATCACTTAAATCACAGGATGCTTAAGGTTGGAAGGGACCTCTAGAGATCATCCAGTCCAACCCCCTGCACACACAGGGTCACCTAGAGCACGTGGCACCGGGCTGCGTCCAAGCAGGTTTGGAAGATCTCCAGAGAAGGAGACTCCACAACCTCTCTGGGCAGCCTGTTCCAGTGCTCTGTCATCCTCACTGGTAAGAAATCCACACATTAGAGACATCTTGGTCTTCAACGGCAGCAGCAGCACACAAGGAGATGAGCCGGGCGGTCACCCGGCGCACTGCCGAGGTGCCAAGAAACTCGGTCTTGTGGAAGGAACCCATGAAAACCAAGAGCGCTCCGCTGCCTGTCTGACCTGCCACAGGGGAGATTACATTGGAGAAAAGATAAGCTATTTTTTTCCAAAGTGGATTTTTCCCCCCTCCTTGTGTCTATTCTATGTTTCTCTTGAAAATAATTTTCGGTATGTAACGGCTTTTTTTCCTGGGATTCTCAAGGGCTCCTCTGGCTGGGTGCCAGCTCCTGCATCCTTCCTCCACCAAAGATGTCTGCATTTGATCGATTCTTGGGCCAGCGATCGAGAGGGAGAGGAACCCTAATTGCGCATTAATAAATAAGAGAAGCCAATAAGAATAAGAACACATCTCAGCAAAATGAACCAGCACGGGATAAACTGACGTCATGGGCCGGGACGACAATCCTGGCTAGGAAGTGGGTCAGTCCGGCGAGCACGAGAGCATCGGCTGCAGCGTCCCTGGAGTACGTGTCCGGCCGGCACCACAACGGGGGGAAGGCAGCATCCCTCAGGCCAACAGCTGAATACTGGTAGCTGGGGGCAACAGCTGGACCTCTCCTTGCCCCTCAAGCAGCTCGGACAAGCAGCAGGTGCCTGAGCTTGGCAGCAGGCAGCCACCAGTGCCAGAGCCATCAAAAGGTGGAGCAGAGCCTCCTTGGGAAATTTCCACTAGCAAGAAGAGATTTCTGAGGTTCTGCAGACCTTGGAGCATCCTCCTCCTCCTCTAGCCCCTCTAGAGGAAGGTGGGTAAGCAGGTACCAGACCTGGATGGTGAAAAGCTGCTGCCAGGAAAGCTCATCCGTGTAGCGTGCGTGGGCTCCCGGCCCGCCGACGGGCAAGCTAGAATCGAGTCTTTCAGTTTCGGTTTGGAGTTTGCAAAGGCAGGACAAGTTTGCATGGGAGCATCTTTGTGCGCCGATGAGAAAAGGCTCAACTTGAACCTTACAGAGCAGGGACGTATCACAGCTGTGTCCCCTCCGTGCCGGCAGGGACGAGCCGCGCTTCCCGGCCCAGCCGCGCACACGCAGACCGGCTGCTCGTGCTCCAGCCACGCGCCCTCCGCAGCGGATGCGCTCCCCGAGTCCGACCAAACGGCGCTTCCAGCTCGTCTCGCCGCGCAGCCCTCAGCTCGCCGCTGCCCACGCAAGGACACAGCCCACCGGGCCCTCCTCTGCTGTCCCTGCTCTGCACGTCTGCCTTCCCCGCGGGCACAAACCCTCCCGCCGAGGTCGAGGGGCTGCCGAGATCACGGCAGTCGCTGGGCGAAGGAAACCTCAAGATCCTCCCAGATCTTTTTCTGCTTCCACACAAAAGCTCATCCCGTCAGTGCACAGAGAGCTCATGCTATTCCTGACGGCATTACCCAGAAAGATGAGCCGGGCATCTCCTTGGGCTAGCTGACACACAAGGAGATACGGGTGTTTGAAGCTCCGCTAAATCCAAGGGCTTTGGCTGATGAGGGGGGATTTCCAGATAAACTTAAGCTACTTACAGTCCCTGCAAACTCCCCAAGATCCTATGATGAAGATGGATAACAAGACCAATACTAAGAAACCATATAAAGCTGAAAACATATACTGGCAGACAGCAGGCCTCATTTTCCGTGGCTCTCCCGAGAGGGTCTAGGTGTCACAGAGCTATGGAGAACGGGTCCAGCGCTAAATGCAAAAGCTCTCAGGTCACCTTCCCCGTCAGAAAACAGACCCCAGAAAGCCTGAGCAACCATGGAAACCCGAGAGCGGGTTCAGGTGGAGCTGTAGCAATTACGTCTCTTATTTGGCTGGCAGACACATCTGGGAAAATCCCTGCCAGGAAATGAGAACCACCTAACGACAGGAACTACCTAGTACCTTAGGAGAGAGGGACTTGCCCCAGCACAACGGACTGAACCTCTCGCTCGCTCCGGCTGCTGGAAAGAGGCGCTCGGGCCTCCCTCGGGCACCCCACGCCGCTCGCCCAGCCCTGGCAGGGCTGTGGGAAGCCTCCCGCTGCTCCAGCAGTGATTCAGCAGCGGCCTCTCCGCGCAGCGCGGCAGGCACGAGGGGGCTGAGCACACAGGGAGCCATCGCTGCGTCGGGGAGGCCCCCGTGCAAGGAGCCACTGCTCCCCGCGGCTGCCAGGCGCTGCTCTCCCCTGCCGCCC